GCTATGTTATTAAAGCCAATACCCAATACAGCTGGATGAGATTCTTGGAAAGCTACAGTAACTACTAAACAGGACCAATGGCCTTCTGAAAAAATAGCCAAGTTGCCGCTAACCAAGAGAGAGACAACAACATGCAACATTAGTGCCAGGTCAAACTCCAAAAGCTCCACTCCGGAGCCTCTTGATATACAGATACGAGTCCAGTTAAACCAGAGTTGAGTCAGGATTTGCAAATCAACAGAAAACGGTGGAACAAACAAGAGACAACTAAGACACAGCTACAGTACAACAACCATGACAACGCCCATCGATATTAGTAATAATAAAAATGGTGACAGCGAATGTGCAAAATTGAATTTCTTTCCTATTAAAAAAAGAAGCAGCAAGACCATATCACAGCCCTTGAATGAACTAATGAAGTCTTAAATCCTAGACATTTCACTGGTGGAGTGGAAACAACTGTAAAAGGGCAGGACACAAAGGCCAGCACAGAGCACTGATAACTCACGCTCAGCGCCTTCAAAGCCTGCATACAGTCCACAATCTATTAGGGCTGATTGTTTCCATTATTACTGGCTGTGCCTTTTACCAGAAGAAAGAGCCACATTTCATTGTGATGAAATCCTCCTGCCATGAGCACATGTTCCACGTATGAGGTGATTTATAAGATTGTTCCACAGAACTGAAAACGCTATATTTATAATTCCGGAATGCCTTAGAAAGAACATTATGCATCTTGTGTGTACGTATAATATATAAATACATACTGTATAGATATATCTAAAAAAAGCACTATCTATATAAATACATATATTAAAAATATTAAAAAACTAATTCCTTAGGAGTCACGTGTCCAGTGTGAGCAATGTAAATATTTTTTTATATTTGTGTAAAAGTTTTAATCCGCTTTATCGAATTAATTTTTTATGTGTTTGAGATTAAGTCATGGAAAACCTAGTGTTTACCTTAGCAGGTAAACATTTTAAAAACTAATTTTGAAGTTCAGTTGATTTTGGTTAATGAAGTGCATCAGGCTTAAGTCAAGAGAATGCAATGGAAGGTACTGTATAGACATCACATTAACTTTTTTGTGAATTATAATCTGTGTTAACAACATACCAAGAAATGGGGCAAAGCACATACAGCAAAATTAATTGGTGAGTCCCTTTGACTCCAGTTTTTTCTTCTTTTGGTTCCATTTGATTTCTTTAGAAAGAAATATCATACATAACATTACGTGGCAATGAAATGCTACAACAGCTTTAAATGATCAGTGGTGATTGCTGATAATGTATGAAAGTATGATAGTATGGAAATGTTTCCTAATGGTTTCAATAAATACACAACATGGCATTCTGCTTTTAGTGCATAGTGTGTTTGGTTTACTTTCTGTGCTTTGTTCTTGTATTTTAAGGTTTCTTTGTTTCCATTCTTTATGAAGGGTTTTTCCACGGAAAGGCATTGAATTGTTTTTATTAATTCATAGTTTATTTCCAAAATTCCGTAATACTGGCCGACCTTGACTAAAGGGAAGGTCCTTTCTGTCACTGTTGTAAAAGGTTGATTTCCTTTCTCCCTGGACTGTTATTGTGAAATTATAATGATACTTAGATTTTATAGGAATTAGAGGCAAAACTTGTCATGTAAAAACAATTTTAGCTAGTGTTCTCTCAGGTATCTCTATATAACTACTGTATGTTAATGTGCATTTTGCAGGAAGTTAAGATGCTTGAACGCAGAAATAGCCTCTCACATAAAAGAAATGGAATGGTTTGCTTTCACCACATAACCCAGTTTCCATTGTATTCTCTTTCTGTAATAAATGGTATCTGAGCATTTAAAGACAACTCTATTATTTCAGGAGCCAACACAATTAGTCCTTGTCAAAGGACTGGATACACACACGCGTTTCCAAATCTGTGGCGAACTCCATATCAATATTCTGAGATCTGATAATGAATTTAATGTCTTCACTGGCTGTATTGCTCTAAGCGGTGACTACTAACCAGTTAGATGAGAGAATTATTGTTTTTCTCCCATGTGGAAGCCCACTGGATTCTGTGTTTATTAACAATTGCTTTATTTTTTGCTTAACAGTTCTGTCAGGTCTTAAATGAAGGATTTGTTGCGCAAAGACTAGACATTGCAAATTCCTTACACCTTTTCCATTCCTGCTGTGTTAGTATTTTTATTCTCTTATAGGTATATTTAATACTTTGCAGAACACCTAAAAGGATGAGACTACTTGGTACTGTAGTTTACTTGGAAAACAAAAGCGAATATGAGGTTAATATATAAATCCTAGAAGCACTTCCCACAAAGAAAAAAAAGTGTTTCAAACATTTTGAAAAAAGTCTTTAACTTGCTTTTTAGGAGTGTTCCTTTTCTAGAAATTTTACATTTACAAAAGAAAGAAGTAACACACCCCATTCTCCCTCCCTATCCCACTTGTTCCTGATCATTCACACAAGCTTTAAATCTTGTTCAGGATCTTGTTGATTCTTATAAATCTTTTTTTGTTATAGTCATGGGGCAGCTGGCTCTCTCTTGTCAGTTTATAAGCCCCTATTTTCTCATTCTTTAGTTCAAAATTGTGCTTGTAAAACTTAAGGCAGCGTAAATACAGCACTTATACTATGTCTATCAATGTCAGGCAACTGTAGAACTCATCAGGTCCACAGTTTCAGAGATTTTTACTAGAGCTGAGCTGTTTTCAGGACCAAAGAACTAATTCGCACCATCGAGAATCTGTAGCCTTTGTTTGTATATTCCAATTATTAAGGGCCTTCTGTCATGTGAATGGAGGAAGTGCAACATTTCTGAGAATTCGTATTTTGATATCTAAGACGTTTCAAAGTGTTTCAAATCATCCCCCCCAGCTCCTCTACCTCCAAATCGCAGGGACACCAGTTTGTAGCTCTTGTAAATGTCTTTTATTATAGTAGGAATAGCACAAGCGGGTGCTGCCGACCACAGGGGTTCTGATTTCACAGTTTCTGCATAGACTTTGGTCTTTTCACCGACACTCAGAATGATTTATTAAAGGAAAACGGAATTTTTGAATGATCCTTCATTTTTCAATTGTTTTCTTTATTTTTCTTTCCCCCCTTCCATATTTTCTACATGCAATGCCCGAACGCATTTTTAAATGTCGTTCCCGGCAGGCGTAAGCTGTGTGTTCCTGTCTAAACAACACACATGTGTTACTGCTTTGCTCTAGCACTGGCCACATTCCTTCCTCCAGTGGTGTTTGTCAAGTTGCATGACATTGTACTGTATGTCTTTCAACCATTTCAAGTATGCGAGACAAACAAATTGTCATGTATATCGTTCTTTTCAGAGGAGTTTGAACTGAACTGTACAAGTTTCATGTAGTATTTACTTTTTTTTCTGCATCCAAAAATGTCCTAGAACAAGTGATTTTTGCTAAATGATATATATCCCAAAATTCTGATACATCTCATTACATTTATAACATGTAATACATCTTGTGGAAATGAAACTTGGCTTCTAACAGTTTGATTCTTAGAATGAGGTTATTTTATGTAAACCAGTACATATGTGGGGTGAATTTTCTTTAAAGTACTCATATAAAGATTTAAATGTGCATATCCCTTCTCTGCTTTATCTGTACACTTGATATTAATCCCTGAAAACTCTTTGATTCTTTGATTTCTACCCCTGATGCATAAGATGCATGTTCAGAGGAACTCAGACACAAGTTGATGAAGAAGTTCGGTGTCTCTGAATGTCATCATTTCGTCTCTGCTCTCTGTCTGTTCATCTATAGTATCTTATCTGCTCATCTACCTGTGTATCCAAGTCAGTTCTGATTAGGGGTAGACCTGCTTTTGCAGTGTCATTAGTAAAACTCCCACTGGTGTTACATCTGACACAATCAGTTAAACAATGTCAGGACTTCTCTCCATACAGTAACAGTGTTTGATATAGAAGCTCAAAATTCCACCTACATATCTCCCTATATTAGAGACAGCACGAAAACAGAGGGAAAACGTAGTGACCAAGGAAAGAACCACATCTGTTTAGCATGATGTGCAAATCTGTAGAAAACAAATCCTTGAACAATTAAAATCACACCTTTTCCCAATCCACATCTAAATGGCTTTTAAATAGCTTGCCTTAAAATAACAAGCACATTAAAATAACAGCACTACAATCTCTTATTACATAAGTTTCAGAGCTGCGCGAAAGCAGCTTTGAGGTTTTATGTAAGCTTATATTCTTGTTTAGCTTCTTAGGTATGCGGGACCTCATGGTAATTTATTTTGCTTTTGTGGTTATTTGTTTTCACTTTCAATTCGTATAATTTCATGTCTTTGTTTCCGCTGTGACCCCAGTGCTTGCCATGGATTTGAATGAACTGGCTCCATGCTGAGAAAGAATCGAATGGAAAAAAGCACAAAACTGTTTACATTAGCTGCAAGCCTTAGCTCTCTTATAGAATTTGCTAACAGCACTGAAGTCCCTGGTTTTCCCATATATTCTCTGTCCTCTTCAAATCCCTTGTCATTATAACAGATGTTTGGATTACTGTTCTGTAAACTATGTCAGAATTTAAATCTCTGCTATCTGTTTATTATTCTCCAAGGGTGACATTACAAGTGTTTTCATGTTAAGATATTGCTTTTTTATATTTACATGCAGTAGTTTCCCATATTACTCAAGTTTAGCAACCACCACTATTTTAAGTACTAGAAATAAAGAATAGTCTTATCTGTAAAGCGTTTCATCACAGATTGTGACATTATTGTTGATGTTAGCAGTGAGAGCAGGGAGAACCACATGTGCGCTCCCTCTTCACACATGACCATTACAATAAGTCAACTTGTCTGCTGAGTAAATGTCATTGTATTGGCTTGTCCAAGAAGCACTTGGACTGGACCTTTAATAAAGCAAGAGAACTCTGAAGTTCTCCCTTGTTATTACGGTACCGTACATGAAAACATCCATCCATTTCCTAACTGCTTTATCCAATACAGGGCTGTAGTGGGAGGACCTGGAGTAACCCAGAGACGCCAGATGGGGTACACCCTGGATGGGGAGCCTGTCCATCTATCTCAGTGCCATATCACCCTGCAACTCACAACTGGCAGCCCACTGAAGCTCAGCAGGTGTGAGCCTGGTCAGTACCTGGATGGCAGACCTCCTTGGAAAAACTAAGGTTGCTGCTGGAAGCGGCGTTAGTGGGACCAGCAGGGGGCGCTCACCCTGCGGTCCATGTGGGTCCTAATGCCCCAGTATAATGATGGGGACACTATACTGTAAACAGACGTCGTCCTTCGGATGAGATGTAAAACTGAGGTCCTGACTCTCTGTGGTCATTAAAAATCCCAGGGTGTTTCTCGAAAAGAGTAGGGGTGTAACCCCGGCGTCCTGGCCAAATTTCCCATTGGCCCTTACCAATCATGGCCTCCTAATAATCCCCCCTCTATGAACTGGCTTCATCACTCTGCTCTCCTCCCCACTGAGAGCTGGTGTGTGGGGAGCGTTCTGGCGCACTATGGCTGCCGTCACATCATCCATGTGGGGCTGCACACTGGTGGTGGTGGAGGGGATCCCCATTACCTGTAAAGCGCTTTGAGTGGAGTGTCCAGAAAAGCTCTATATAAGTATAAGCAATTAATTAATTATATTAGAATAATGATCCTCTAAAACAAACATTATAAGCAACCCTATTTCTGTCTTTGTCTTGTGCAGTATGTGTTCATTCTCCTGCTCAGCTACTACTGAATGCTCAGTTCCCTTTGCTTTGGCTATACTCGGCATTTCAATGTCTCAACACGTGACTGTAGACATATATTAGGCCTATTCAGTTGTGTTGTGGTTGTGGTTTCTAACAAAGCATTTCATCTGTGAGTCTATGAGTCCCTGACCAGTCCTTAACTGGTCTCAGCCTTACTGAAAGTTGTCACAATATTTCTACAGGTCATTTTCTTCCTCCATCAATAAAGTGCTTAAACCAGATAAAACGTTTGCTTTTCCTCCCTTTACTAAACAATGTAACACATTCATGCAATTCTTACAAAACCGAACAAATAATGTTAGCTACCAGCTGCTGACCTGACCTTAGGCAGTCATAGAAACTACACCATCTCTCACTCACGATTTGAGTTTCTTTTATTTTACCACTGTTCATGCTTCTTTTGTAAGAAAAGACCTATTACCTATTTAAAACTCTATTCTAAGACTTTATTCCTAATGAAACCTAGCTTTTCTGCTCTTTGACCATTTGTTGAGTCCTTCAAAATCTCCTCTTGTTCTTATAGGCATATAATGTTTTGCTGCTCCCACCTGTGTTAAAAAAATTGGCCAGCTGAACTGGCCACAAGTACTTAACCACTACCATTCTATTTCCAATTTGTCTTTTCTTGCAAAAACCCTGGAATGGCAGTGGCAGCTCAATTACTATCTCATCTTGCATCGAATGAGCCCTTTGAACCTTTTCATCTGGGATTTAGACAGGCACTGTGCTGTCTTTTAAACCCTTGTTAAGGTAGTTAAAGATTTGCTGATGGCTTTTGACTCTGGGCCATTTAATATTCTCCTCCTTCTGGATACAAGTGCAGCTCTTAATAATGTCAACCTCAGCATTTTACGGGGGCTTGAGGCAATGTATCTAGGGATCCCTGGCACTTCAGTTCATTGGTTCCTTTCCCCTTTGACTAATAGGGATCAATTCATACCTGTAAGTATTGGCTGTACTAAATTGGGGTGTTCCATAGGGTTCTGTATTGGGACCATTACTACTTACAGTAACATAAAGTGTAGGTATTGCCTCTTTGTTGGAACATTCACCATCATGGAGCTGTGTTTCGGTGCAGTGCTGAAGCCAGTCAGATTTACTTGCTGACCAAATCAAATTCTACAGCTGCAGGTTCAGTAGATTACTGGTGCTGATAAGGTATGGAGGCAATGGACCTTTCTTTATAATCTGTGACAAGACTGAGGTTTTGTTCAAAGCCGCCCAATATCAGCTTCACACAGCTGCTAATCTGAGTGCTGTTGTTGAGGGTACTGAAACCGAACACTTGAACTAAGTTACAAAATTCAGTGTTACTTTTTGGCCCCTGCGTTGTAATTTGAATTGCATGATAGAAAAGTCACAAAGACTTTTCTAAAGGTAACATTGCTTGATCAGGCTGTTGGATGCTGAAATATTCATACTTGCTTTATTTCTACACTACTGTCATTCCATACTGGGGTACTTTTCCAAGATAAAAGATAGGCTACAGTATTCCTTTATTCTGTGTCACGTGTGCTAACTTAAACTGCTCTACATCAGCTCATGACACCTGTCCTCTGTAAATCGCGCTGGCTGCCTGAGGAATTTAGAATGGACCCAGCTTCCTTTTTGTCATCGTCAGGCAGGTGGAACAAATTGCCCAGATAAATTTGTGATTCTGCACTGTCGACACTTAAAACTTAAAGACCTGCTTTTCTCTTTATTTTTAAGACAGGTGTGTAGAAATATACAGTTTTTTAAAAGCACTTATTAGAATTATAGTAAAGAATAGGGTAAAGTTTTCCAAAAGAAGGAACATTTGAACTGAACATACTGTTAATTGATGCTAACAAGTGTTCTCCGGGGCAGAAGTTGCTTTTTAAAAGCTGCTTTCAAGCACCCATAATCTTTCCTTCATTATTAAGATCCTGATAGTTTTTCACACTTTTATATTCCTTTCTTGACCAGAGTCAAAGTCAAATGGGGACCTAGTTCTCTTTTACAGCCACAACCTGGGTAGACTGAAGTATGTCGTGAAGTATCTTGCTGATGGACAGAACAGTAATGCCCCTGCCAGAACTTTTGAACTTCTGACACTCTGGTCGGGAGCCCACAGTTTTACAGTGATATTTCACACAGTTCTTGCAAGTTATGTAGATTCAGGACTGGATTACAGACAGAAGTTTAAGCACCCATTAACTGAAAAGAATTGCTCACAATTTTTCATCTCTTTTTTTCCCCGGTTAGAGTTCATGTCTCCAGCAGTGTTTGAAAAGTTTGCTTTGAATGTTAAGATCAAAGTCTTTTTCCTGTGTGCAGGTGCAGGGTACGTAGAGTCATGATATAAAAAAACATGCAACTGAATGTTCCAAATTGGGTGTGTAGAGTAAACAGAATTGTTCTTAAAACTTGAGCTTTTTCCTTTTCTCGCTCTGTCCCATGGTACACTAAGCAGCTGTGTTCAATGAAGGCAGTCTCCTACAAACTGGAATGTACTGTAGGTGTTGACTTCAAAATCCTCCTGCTCACCTACAAGGCTCTGCTTGGCTGGGCACCTCGGTACCTGTCTGAGCTCCTACCATCTGCTCCCCACCTCGCAGCCTTCGCTCTTCTGATCAGGTCTCCAGTCTGTCCCCCAGTACGCCACTTGTCACTGTCCCTGTGGACTACATTGTCAGTAAGAGCAGGAGTGATGTTTATAGTGTGTCCAAACTTCAAATCAAGGGACTATACACTACGTTTTCTGGAAGGAAAAAGTAGAATGTCTTAAAATTTCACCAAAACAGTAACACTCTTGATTGTTCTGATTTTATTAAGTGCATTAGCTAAATAACCGTTTTGACACTAGAAAAGACTACTATTTAACTTTTAGAGGTATTTTTTAACTACCAGACAGACTGGATTGGGCTGAATGGCCTCTTCTCGTTTGCAACTTTTCTTAAGCTCTTGTGTTTCTACGTTCTTGACGGTAGTAGTTCAGGTGGGGAACTGCATCAGCATGCGTAGGCTGCAAAGGAACAATGAATAGGTTTATTCCATGCTGAAAAAAAAGAAGAAAGAGAACACAACGTTTCGGCCGTGGTGCCTTCTTCAGGTGTGATACGTTCTTGACGTATTATTTGACTATGAGATATAAAGGTTGTAAGGTATTTCAGTTTTCAACAGCAGCTACAGTTTAACCCACTCATGCTCTAGGCAAAAGCCACACCTTCTTCCAGCACTTTCACAGCCCTCCAGCTCCCAGAGATCAGGGGCAGCAGCAGAGGGGCATTAGGGCCAGCACGAGCACAGATTTCTAGCAAGATCAGATCACTTTATTGGCCATATACAATTTCTTGCATTAGGAATTTGTCTTTTCTCGTACCCCAACCTGCTCTCCATTAGACACAAAAACAAAGAGAGAAGCTGGGGGTCAGAGCGCAGGGTCAGCCATTTATACGGCACCCCTGGAGCAGCTGGGGTTAAGGGCCTTGCTCAGGGGACCAATGGAGCAGGATTACTCTGCTGGTCGCGGGATACAAGCCAGCAACCTTCCAGCCACAGGCACAGATCCTTAGCCACAGGGCCACCACTCCGCCAAGCAAGCAGCGTTTTTCACCCACCAGATGGAGTCAATGCTGTGACACTACACAAAGCCTCCCACAAAACCTGATTCTTCCCTTCTCAGTCCCGGCTGCTCTGGGCCACTGGACAGAGCACTCTCAAATTAAAATGAACAGCGGTCCCGCAGAGGTAAAGAAAGTGACAAAACACCTGGAAAACAAGCAGAGTGTACTCAAACACATTCTGAGGGGATGTGCATTGTGCGGAGCATCATGCATAAAGGTGCAGAAGGCTGATTTTAGCACCATGGGAGCAATCAATGTTTCAGCAGTATAATAGGAAAGCTGGTCACATCCATATTCTTCTAAGGGAGTAAATTTTAGTTGTCACAGCTCTGCAGTGCCTCTGCTGGCCAATACTGTGTATTTTTAGGGACTGCTTTGCTCATTTCAGCTGTATTGTCAAAAGGATTTCAAGCTCAGTCTTTCTTGCATTTAGTAATTTATTCAGTCTTGGACTGATAGATTTTTTGGGCAAAGGGAGCATTGAGAAAAGGAGACAAAAAAAATCCTACACTCAGTTGCTCTCTAGCCTTCACCAGAAAATAATTAGACATCCTATAAAAATATATGTGCATATGACAACAAGTGATCAGAACTGATGAAATAATTGTAACTGATTAGTTTTCAAATTAATGTCTGCTTAAAAGGTCCTGCTGATGCTTAGATGGAGTGAAGCCTTTTGTATTCAAGTTGGACCTGCAAGTTTATAAGAAGGACAAAACTGTAAGGAGAATAGTCAGGACCTGACTCTACTTTGCTTGCAACCCCAAATTAGGGCAAAAACGGT